TTCAAATGGGTTTTAGGGTCAGGACAGTCTCAGTTAGATCCTATAGTTTCTAAGTCCTGGGCATTGAGAATTGCTGTTTAGAATGCAGACCTGAAAATCATTCTTGGGTCCTAAGATTCATTTAGCACAGACAGATGTCATCAGTCATGTTCAGACTGCAGCAGAAAGGTACACTCGGAAAATAACCAACATGGGTTAGTAGTTATCAACATGCATTACCCCAATAATAAAGCCTTTAAAAAGTATAGCCTAGGGACCAGCAAATGGCATAATGGTTACATTGCTGGACTCCCAAGTGGTTGACTGCAATTTGAGTCTGGGACCCAGAGACTTAAAACTCACACTGAGCCTGTGTTTGTGCATGCCCCAAATCCCAAGAGAATGGACGAGGCGGGATTGCAGCATGGCCATCTCCCCTGGGAGGTGATTTCTCACTTTCTATCTCTCTGTCTTACTGGCAGGCACACATGCAAAAAAAAGTCTTTAAAAAAAAAAAGTAAAAAGTATCGCCTAGTTTTCTAAGCAGTTCAATTCACTGAAGATTCTATATCAGATATCTGAAAATTACATTGATAAAAAGATATATAGTTATCCAAGAAATTGGTAATGTGTATCACATGCTGATACTCAACATGATGGAACATTGTTCTGGGTCAGTGGTGGGGTGGGGCCTGAATGGAGACCTGACTGCAGAACACGCTCCCAGGACATCTATACTTCCTGTAATCTATTAGTAATTTCTCTCTGTGATGGGTACATCTGTATCCATCTAGCTTGTGAAAGGTGTTAATTTTTTAAATTTTTTTCTCTATTCATGATAGCATGCAAATGAGCACCCTTTACAGGGTCTGGTCAGACTGATATCCCCTTCCTCCAGTGAGTGCTCTAGCACAGCATGCCCAGTGTTACAGTCTGACTGGCCAAGGATTCAAAGTGCAGTCCCCAGTGTGAGATCTGGCTTCCCTGTGATACATTACTGCTGTGCCATGGAGCCGGCCCTAAAAAGGCTTTATTATGTCTGTGAGAGTCAAGGTTGCTCTTTATGAAGTTTTCTTCTCCACAAGCTTGTCAGTGATGTGTCCCAAAGCAGAGTTACCAGAAGAAGGAATGTGGGTCCCTGCTCCTCACACCTGGTACAGGCTGTCTTCTAACTCCTAACACTTACCTAAGGAGGTAGTGGAAAAGGCAGGGACTAGGATGGCAGCAAGAGAACGGGGATTAGAGAGCTACTGGGTGTCCTGGGTCCTTCCAGCATGTACTGAAGTTCCCTGAGTTAAAAAAGACGACTTATGCTGGGGACGATGGTGCGCACCTGTGACCCCAGCTACTTGGGAGGATGAGGCAGAGGATCATGATTTTGAGGCCAAATTGGGTAATAGAGAAAGATACTGTCCCTTAAAAAGAAAAAAAATGAATTACAAATCTGTCATGAATATTAGAAAGGACTGCTTACCTTTGGTTTATAATTATTCACTGAATGTTTACTGAACACCTTCTGTTTCCTGGGCTAGACGTGAGCTATATACATGTATCTCAGGCAGGTGAGAAGCCCTGTTCTAAAGGAGCTTACGTGGGGGGGGGCGGGGGGAGAAAAAGCATCAACAATATTTGTGATAAATAAATGGTTTTACCTGGTAATAAGTGCTGTGAATAAAGGGAAAAAACAAGGGTTAGAGAGATCAGAAGGCTGGATGGTGGCATAGAGGTAAAATGTGACATCCTACAGGCTGACCCAAATGGGAGGCTTCCAGGTTGTGTCCAGAGACCTCCTTGAGCAGGCTGGGCACACCACAGGCCCATGACCCTGGCTGTTTGAAGCTGGATAGATCACTCCATCAGGTCCCTGTTGGGGATGCTAATCCTCCTTCACGTTCTCTCTTTACTCATGGAAGAAATAAGACTATTTCTTTCAGGTTATTCTCCAACCCTGTGAAGTAAATAAGAGATTGGGCCCCTCATTTCCCTTCCCACTCTTTATTTTTTGGTGTTTGCCACAAAGTGAAAGGGAGAAAACAGCCCAATGGTGAATGGTCATACTGAACTCTCTTCTCTCTCCCTCCCTTTGTGATTTTGGGCACACACACGCACCTGGCATGTTCTCAGGCTGGCAGGTCCCGGACTTGCACTCCAAGGTCAGCCATGTGAGATCTAGCAATCTTAATCATTACATTTCAAATAGGGAAGTTGGAATTGGCATCCCAGTGGACTTGGTGGTTATATTTGGGGCTGTGAAGCCAGAGATGGGTTCAGAACCAGTCACTCTCTTCCTAACGAGGTGCCCTTGGGCAAGTTCGCTTGGTCTGATGTGACAAGTGAAACATGTCACTTGTTTCTAAGATTACTCATCTGTCTTTTCTTTTTTTTTTAATATTTTTTTTTGGAGAGTTTTTTTCGCTACAGGGTGTGTGCACTCGCCAGACAGAGAAAGACATAAAGACAGAAAGCAAGAAATCACCCCCCAGGGGGGATGGTCATGCCGCAATCCCTTCTCCTCCATTCTCCTCTTGGGATCTTGGGCACACACGCACACGCGCCTGGCATGAGTTTTAAGCCACTGGGTCTGGGACGCAAACTGCGGTCGACTCCGTGGGAGTCCAGCAACATAGCCATTACGCTAACTGCTGGTTCTCCTAATCTGTCTTTTCATATAGACTTTTTATATGAATGTCTTTTGTATATATTTCACTATCTTTGGCTGGAGTGTTCTTTTTCTGAATCATTTCAGTCTATTCCTGCTTTAGATAAGGAAGCTAACACACTATAGTTACTCATTAATAAGACTATATAACTAAAGAAGTATTGGGGACCAGCAGTGTAATGGTTACGTAGCTGGACTCCCATGTAGTCGTACATGGTTCGAGTCCCAGACCCGGTGGCTTAAAACTCACACTGGGCCCATGTGTATGCATGCCCAAGATCCAGAAAGGAGAATGAGGAAGGGATCGTAATGTGGCCATCTCCCCTGAGGAGTAATTTCTCACTTTCTGTCTCTCTCTGTCTTTCTGGCAAGTGCATGCACCCTATAGCAAAAGTCTCTTAAAAAAAAAAAAAAGTATTATATTTGTGATTATATTGTGGTTAGCAAACCAGGAGCTTAAGAGAAAAAACAGTAAATGATTTTAAGTATGCATAAATATCAAATTGTCCAAATGTTTAAAGTTTGAGATTGGTCAGGGTATGGAAAAGCAAGTACTTTCATATAACTCTGATGTTAATATCATCAGTGTGACCTTTTATAAAGGACAATTTGTTAGTATCAGAATAAAAAATACCTATCCTTTGATCTAATTTCAATACTAGAAATTTACCCACAAAATTACTTGCAGAAGCATTTTATACATATAGAAGAACATTCACTGAGATCCCAGGGTTGTGTCCAGAGATTCCCCTGGATACCCTGGGAGTGTACCCATGATCCGAGGCTGATTGAGACTGGATAGATCATGAAGAGACCAGGTCTCAATGATCTCTCTCACACACACTGAAAAAATACACTAAAAAAAAAAACCCAAAAACCGTAATAATGTTCACTGAAACTTTTATAGTAGTGAATAACCAGATATAATCTAAACCTCACAGTAGGAGACTGGTTAAATATACCATGGAACATCCATAAAACCCATTATTTGTTTAAAATAATGATATGAACAATGTATACAGACTGTAAAGTTAGACTTTTCAAGAATATATATGTTGATATACTTTTTATTTTCTTCTGGAAGAAAACACAAAATACTCAGTAACTTGTGAAGAAAACTATGTAGAAAGTGGGTAGGGTACATTTTCTTTATACTGTTTGATTGTCTAGCCACATGAATATATTACTTGTCACACTTTTTTTTTATGTCAACAGGACAGTTACTTTCTTTTTAACTTTTATTTTACTAAACTTTATTTTTAAAAATGGGCCAGCAGGTGGTGTGGTGGTTAAGGTGCTGAACTCCCACATGGCTGACCAAGGTTCGAGTTCTGGATCTGGTGGCTTGCTTTCTCACTTTCTCACTGGTTAAGTTAAAAAAATAATAATAAATAGAAAATTCTTCTTTTGAAAATGAATTTTGAAATCCTAAAAATTAAAACCAAATTCTATCTACTTTATCTCCCCCACATATTACATACATGAGAGTTTCAAAGTTTTTTTTTTTTTGAGAAAAAAGCACAGCAGTGAAAGGTAGGGTATAAGGTGCCAGTACTGTAGCCTAATGGTTAAGGGAGCCAGATCCCACATGTTCAATGGTGGTTCAAATACATGCTCTGGAGGCTTGAAAAACAAACTGGGAATGTGTGCCTACATGCCCCAAATCCTGACAGGAAGGAGAAATGAAGGGATTGCTGCATGGTCACACCCCATTAGAGGGGACTTTCCCCCACTCTCTGGTGAGCACACATACCCTCTAGCAATTAAAAAAAAAAAAAAAATCCATTGAAGGGAAAGGCCTAGTCCTGCTTAGCCCCTGTCAAGTCTAATTTCCCATCAGAGACCAACTACAAATCACGACATGTACCCTCAGACACCCCTCTTCAGAGATGGCAAAACCAGTGACCTTCTTGCCCTCCTACCCACACCCCCACCTTTCTGGTACTGATTCTAGGTTGTAACCTACCAAAGAGAGGTGTAAACTATTTCTTGGGCATTATTATAGTGTTTGCAGATGACTTCACCAAGAGGTTTTCAACCAGTTTTCTTTCTTTTTTGCCAGAGATGTATGCTCACCAGAAGATAGAAAGACGGGAAGGTGAAAGAGCATCTCCCCCATCCAATAGAGAACTGTCATGCCACAATCCCCTTTCCTCCATCTCTCCCTCCCTTCAAGACCTTGGGCACACACACACACGTTTAGTTACAAGCTAAAGGGTCTAGGACTCAAACCACAGTCATCCATGTGGGTTCGAGCTGCCCTAACCACCATGCCACCAGCTGGCCCCCACCAGCTTCTTTAAGACATCATTCTCAGGTCAAGAGGATCATTTATTAGAAACAAAGGTGTTTCGGAGCAAGATGTGGTCTAAAGTTTTATTTACTTTTTTAAACATAAGTTTGAACAGTTGGTCCTGCTGTATTTCAGTGGCACTTACAGGAGGACAGACCAGACGTGTGGTTCCTGGATCAAGTCCCATTTGCTGCTGCTGATCAGGGATAGGGCTACTCAGCCTTAGAGGTTGTCTCTTGAACTCCCCCCATTTATGAAACCCAAACCCAACAAGGCAGAAAGATCTGGAGTCCTGGCATGTTACCTCAGTGTTTTATTTTTTATTCAACTATTAGCAAACGGCAGAATCAACACAACACTCAGCAACTCCAGATGGGCTTTTCCTACACGAATGAAGAGTGATCAGTGTGACAGGCACAGAGGCCAGGACCCCTGATTACTGTCACCTGGCACTGCTGCCTATGTAAATGGCCACCCCCTTAAAGCTCGCTAATGGAGCCAGAGCGGCATTCTGACATCTATTCTAGCTGTTCAAGATGTACCATGGTGGGTTTAGCCACGATGCCAGCCTCTAGTTGTCTGAGTGAGAGACAGCATCGTGAGCACGTCTTAAAGATGCAGGGATCATAAAGGCAGAGGCAACAAATTTTAACTTCCCTTAAAAAATTCTTGTTTCTGTGGACCTAAGTCCAGAATTAGGCCTGACAGGTGCTAAGCAGGACTGGGCCTCCCCACTTTTGTTTTTTTGGTTTTAACCTGGATTTTTTTTTTTTTTAAACTCTGGGTTGCTATTCTTCTATTAACAGTTCATGACCCCATGATATCAAAATAACCCTCAAATTTGATCTAAACATAAACTGGGGTATGTGAGAATCATGAAGGATAGACAGCAGGAAAAGTCACCCTAAACCACTATCTGACTGTGCAAACAGGTTGGGGGGAACAGGAGAAATCTACATGCATCACTGAACTGGAGAACACTGTGTGGGATGTCAGAAGGCTCCCATCTCAAGCTTCCCCCTACTTCCCGGACAGCTGCTCGTACAATTTGGGCACATAGTCATCCCATTCAGCCTGGTAACATGTGCCAGCCACCGGGGGGCCGAGCTCATACTTTTTGCGGAAGGATGCCACCTTGAACTTGCCACGGTGATCTCCAGATCGGTTGCTGAGGATGGGCTCATCGCACTTCAGTGGCCTGGCCTGCTCGTAAACCAGCCAGACATAGCGGTGGAGGCCTGGAAAGAGAGAGAAAGGAAGACGGATACACACACGCGGAGGTAAGCTGAGATGGAGATGGAAACATCACTCACTTCCACTGAATGTTTCAACTTGGAGGGACCCAGACCACCCTATTTAGGCTGAGTCAGGTTGCTCCCCCACTGAAAATCACCCAGTGGTTCCCCACTGCAATTGATGATACCAACTCCAAATCCTTCATTCTGGCCTCTAATAACCTGTAGGATCTAGCCTTTTCCACCCGTCAAGCCTCACCTCCTACCACTCTGTTCATTCATCCCACTCAAAAGCCTCTAGCCTATCTCAAGTCATCCGTCGCCACTCCTGTCAGAATGCCCATTTTACTTGTTACCTGTGAAGGACGCCGCAAATCACTGATTGGGTGCCTATCATACCACAGTCAAGCTTTCAAGCCTCAGAGAGAACATTCTCTTTCTGTCTATAAGACTGACTTAATTAGAAAACTAGAGATCTGCTTTGAAATGGCCCAAACTCACTTTAACCAAGTAGCAAAAATGTTTTAAAACCAGTCAGTGGGACCAGCAGATGGTGTAGTGGTTACGTCGCTGGACTCCTACATGGCTGACCACAGTTAAAGTCCTGGACTCAGTGGCTTTAAAATCACACTGGGTGTGTGTGCCAGCAAGCAAATGCGCTTTAAGGCGAAAAACCTCTACAAAAATAAAATAAACAATCAGTGGGCCATCCCTGGGGTGGTGAAGACATTGGATCCCACATGGCTGACGATATGATTCAACTCCCACTCCCAATGGCTTAAAAACACTGGGCGTATGTGTATGGATGCCCAAAATCCTAAAAGGAGGGAGAAATAGAGAAGGGATGGTGGTGTGACTATACTCCATGGGAGGTGCTTTCTTGTTTTCTCTCTCTCTCCCTCTCTGTTTACACACTCTAGCAAATTAAGAAAAAAAAGAAAAAAAAAAGAGAAAAAAAAAGTGTTCAAGCCTAGGGGAATCTGGGTAACAAGGTCACATAAGAACCTTCTAGGATAATAGAAATGACTTGTTTCTCTTTGCTGGTTCTAATATGGGAGTATGCATTGGTCAAATCCACTGACTGAACCCTCATGAATTGTGCATTTATTATATGGAAGTTATATATTTCTACAAGAATAAGAAGAAAAACCAATGAGTCGCTGAGGTTTTTTTTTTTTTTTAAATGAGAACAGAGCTCCTACTTGAGAGAATTGCTTTATTCCCATGTGTATACTTCCCATAATTAAACTGCCTAATTTTATAACTGCCCTAGAGAACCTAATAGATCCCTGGGAAATCTGTCCTTTTGTCTTTCTGTTATAAATGCACGAGAGAGCGCGAAGCCATCTGAAGCTTCTGGGTCTACAGCTTGACCAGGAGCCCATGACCAACGGTCCTTGTCAGGGACCTGCTTTTCTCTCCCAGACTAATCCATGGCTGGACACTGTGTACAGAGGCTAGTGTTCTGCCAGGCCATGCTCACCACTATTTCTTTATTCTGGCCGATGGAAAGGGCCTACAAACGAGCAGCAGGCAATAACACCTCTCCTGCCATTGGTTCAGGAAACGCTTAGCCAATCTGGAAAGTTCTCAGTATGGTACTATCACTATCTGTCTCTGTATGCCCCCTTATATTTTATATGATATCACAATATGATATATGGGTATATCTGCAATAATCCCATTAAAGTCTTCTAAATCTTTTCAAGATACCAAGCTAGATTTCTGAGACAAAGAGGGAGCTATAGAGACATAAAAGGCACTTTTAGAGCCGGCCCCATAATTAGTGGTTAACAGAGCTGGATTTCACACGGGTGGCTTCAGTTCAAGTCTCGACCAAGTAGCTTGAAAATCATACCGTGTGTATGTGTGCACACACACACACGCTCCAAATCCCAACAGTATGGAGAAATAGAGGAAAAGGATTGTGGCATGACCATGCCCCATTAGACAGTGCTTTCTCTTTCTCTCTCTGTCCCTTTGGAGAGTACATGTACCCTCTGGTGATTTAAAAAAAAAAAAAAAAAAAAAGGCATTTTTGGGGCCAGCAGGTGGCATGGTGGTTAAGGCACTGGACTCCCACATGGCCAAACATGGGTCAAGTACTGGACCTAGTGGCTTGCTTTCTTACTCTCCCTTTCTGTCTGTCTCTGGTCAAAATCGAAGAATAATGGGACCAGCAGTTAGAGTAATGGTTATGTCGCTGGACTCCCATGTAGTTGACTGCAGTTTGAGTACTGGACCCAGTGGCTTAAACTCACGCCGGGCATGTGTGCGTGCGTGCCCAAGATCCCAAGAGGAGAATGGAGGAGAAGGGATTGCGGCGTGGTCATCCTCCCGGGGGGCAATTTCTCGCTTTCTGTCTCTCTCTGTCTTTCTGGTGAATGTACATGCCCCACAGTAAAAACCTCTCCAAAAAAAAAAAAGAATGTTAATAAATGAAAGTAGAAATAAATCTTTTTAAAAAGGCATTTTAAATATTTATTTCATGAGAGAAAGAAAGAGAGGGCCTCTTCACAGCATGTCACACCACAAATACCCTCTCCCCCAAGCCTTCCAGACAGCCAGGATCACAGGTGTGCCCCAGGCACACACGACATGTTCAGGTGGACGAGGAGCCAAACCTGGGGACTTCCTATGTAGCTCCAGTATCATGCAGTGGCATCTGCCACCTACCATGGCTGGGCCCGAAGGTGATTTTTCATGATTGATGTGGAAAACTCGAAGATTACACAGAGCAAAGGCTGAATAGAGATGGCTTAACTGTGCTGAATCCATGCTCAGCCCCCAAAAGGCCATTCCAAGCATCCTACATCGCTTCCTTCACACCCACCTCCCTGCTTAGCTAAGCCTAGGGGCCAAGAGGCAATTTCACACAAGGGTTTGTGTGACCAGACCTGAGGTTCCTTGTGACTAGGCCCAAAGCTCCAGGCCCCTGAAGGCAAATGCCCTAGAAGCGAGCTGAGCTGCTTAGGCCCCAGCAGGGTAAGGGCTCTCACCAAAAAATAAAATGTTCTAAACCAAACTAAAGCTGGCAGAACTTTGGCCCAATGCCAATGTGCACCCAGGCTCCCTTCCCGCCTCCCTCCAAAAGCAGCCCTCACTGACCTGTGCCCTTGGGAGGCCCAGATCCCACGTAGTCGGACAGCACTGTGCCACTGCTGATATCATTGCCCTTCATGTTAACCACCAGAAAATGGTGCCATTCCCTATGTGGAGACAAAGGACCGTCAGCACCACAGGAAATTCCTGTGCATTCACTGTACACCTGGCAAACATGCACTGAGCACTTGCTCCTTGCCAGGAAACAGCGATGAACAAGGCACACAGCCCCTGGTTTCCTGGCCTGGACTCACCTTCTGTGCCTGCAGAAAAAAAGACCCAGGCCCGCCCTCTCTCCTTCCCTCCCAAACAGGGAGGGAGAGGTCTAGGGCAGAGGTCAGCAAACTTTTTCTGTAAAGGACCAGAGAGTTATGGGCCACACTGTCTCTTTTACAACTACTCAACTCTGCCTCATGGCGTGAAAGTGGCCCAGACAATAAATAAATAACCACGACTGTATTCCAAAACAACATTTTAAATTCGATTTTATTTATCATCATTATTATTTTAATTTACTACAGGGCACGCACAATCACCAGAAAGAGACAGACAGAGAGAGAGAGTGAGAAAGAAAGTCTCTAGATCTGGGACTTGAACTGTAGTTGGCCACATGGGAGTCCAGTGCCTTAATCACCATGTCATCTGCTGGCCCCCCAATAAAACCTAATTTATGAAGTAGTACTCATCTTTTGTTTTTCCTCTAATCATTTAAAAATATAAAAGCCTTGGGGCCAGCACATGGCTTGGTGGTTAAGGTGCTGGACTCACATATGACCAACCATGGTTCAAGCCTTGGACCTGGCAGCTTGCTTTCTCACACACCCCCTCACCCATTTCTCTCCCTGGTGAGTGCATGTGCCCTATGGCAAATTAATAATAAATAAAATTTAAAAATACATATATAAAAGCTATTCTTAGCTCATATAGCTTTTCAAATACAGGCCACAGGAAGATGTGGTTCTTGGCTGAAGCTGAAGTTTATAGACTCTTGCTCTAAGGAGTAAAGGGGTAGAAAATGCTCACTGGCTGAAGCACAGGCATGAACGTCCCAAACCAGGCCTACCCCTCCCTGCCCAGCAAGAGACTTAATGCCAACTTGCCTGTATTTGGGATCCTTCCTGCTGGGAGCATCAGGGTCTGTCAGGACCAGGGTGTAGAGTTTACCGGAATCAAGACCATCCCATGCAATACTGGTGGGTCTGTTCTTAACCTGTGAGAAGCAACCAGCTTGGAATTTAAAAAATCAGAAATGCTGGAAAAAAATACTCCTTTTCTGATCTCAGATACCACAAAGGTAAAACAGTGGATTATGAATAAAAGTTACTGTGTACTGCCCCTACTAAAAGTCAGCGGCAGACATTTTACATCCATTACATGGTTTAGTCCCAACACCACTAGCAAGTTATGAACAGGAAGAGCTGAGGCCAGGATTCCAACCCCAGCACTGGGTCCTCATCACTACAACCTTACATTGTCTGGAAGGACAGCCTCTGGATTTGGTGGCCAGGTAGGTACTTGGGGCCTGCTAAAGTGAAATCTCCATTAACTGGATATTTAAAAGTGCACAAAAAATGAGAAAGTCAATGGGCGGAGAGGCTGGAAAAAAGAGGCTTTGTCAGCCTCCAATTTGGGCACTGCATATTCAAACATCCAAAACAATAAACTCAGTTAACATCCCAAACCATGGGAGGTCAAGGCAGTTTATTCACTCCACCATCCGGGGCTTCATAACCAATGCCTGGTGATGCCCTCCCCCTCCCCGCCACCCATGGGGAAATCTAGTTCCTCCACTTTCAGTAGCCCCAGCCATGGACTCAGAGGCCAAACGGTAAAACAAGGCCGTTGCCTTCGATTGAGCTCCAGAACCTTCTCACCTTTGGTGGCAGCTCGCTCTTGACTGCTACGACAAAGGAGCACTCGTGGGCAGAGGCAGATCACCAGTTACATAATGCGTCACTGGCTCCAGGGTAGGGTATTTGTCCTCCAAACTGAGGCCTAACATGCTGAGACCCGAGGGGAACTGAGGGCCCATGGGCGGCCACAGCTTACTTCGTCCCTGGCACGGCTCCCTGGCCCTGCCCTGGCCCTACCCCGGCCCTGTCCCCGCCCTACCCGGGAGTTCAGGGCTGTCCCTATGCCCTGGACCTTGAAGTCCAGAAGAAGGAGCATAAACTTTTCCCGCAGGCAGAACCCGGCCAGGCACGCCACAGGCCGGGTTCCCAGTGCTCAACTGGCCCATAGGTCCGCGGCATGGGTGCCGCAACCTATTCCCTCCTGGACCCCAACACGCGCAGGCTGGAACGCCCCTCCATGCCCCCATCTCCACCGTGTCCCGCCCTCCAGCCCGCACAGGCCTCCAAGTCCCAGGTCCCTGCACGCTCGCCGCCCGAGGGTACCTGGGTGGGCGTCAGCACTTTGCCCAGCTCGTCCACCTCTGCGCCGGCGTAAGTGACCTGCAGCGGGTGCTGCGGCCGCTCGTCCACTTCCTGCAGGCTCAGGGGCCCGGACCACTTGCTGAGATCCACCGGCATGGCGGGGGCCACGGGGGGGGGCAGGTGTGGTGCCGCAAATTAGCCGCAGGCGGCAGGGACCGAGAGCCCACGCGAGCGCACGCGCTTGAGCCACCGCCCCGCGCCGCCCCGCCCAGCGCCTCCAATCACCCGCGAGGCTGAGCCCACTCTGCTCTCTGATTGGTCAGGTCAGATAGCGCGCGACGCCTGGCGCTGCGGGGTCACCGCAACCCGCCACTCGCCGCAGCCGAGTTGTCTGGGCCGTGG